GAAATGACTTTGAAAATGGCCTTGTGCTAAAGCAATTAAATAATATTTATGTTGTATAATTAATTCCCAGGGAAGGATAAAATTGTGGAAAGGCAAAATAACTGAGTGAAAACCATCTGCAGGCTTCTGAGGCATTTCTTGTTGGAAAGGGAGGGATTATTACTGAGATTAGCTTTTCAGAGGTTTTAAAGTAGGATTCAATAGCTGTAAAGGCAGGATTGTTTGGCACCAGCATCTCTGCTCGTAGCTCTAAATGTCTGCTTGCAGTTAACATAGGTGCAATAAACTTATATGTGCAAGAATTAATGGAAAAAACCAGTACAAGTGTCACAAGAAATGTGTTGCAGCAAAATGCAAGCATAGTTAAGTGAAGAAAATATATAGATAACCTCTTCTGAAAAATGGGAGAACTCCAAAACAACAATGAAGGAGATTGGAATGATCACCAGATCTGATACTGTCTCTGGATTTGCCCTCTATGCCTATACCTCTGTCAGCGTTCTGTACAGCAGCTGTACTGTGCCAGAGACAACACTGTAGTGCTAATCATGACATACAACAGAGGCACATTTTTCCTCAGTAAAAGGATGACTTCTTGTCCCTCTCCACCCTTAGGAAGCCTATGCAAAGCAATGTGCTCATCTCTCCTAGAGGGCAAAGAAGCTATGCCAAGAAGCAGGCAGGCACCCAGCTCCTTGAATGCAGAACATTTTTCTGACTTCCACATTGACTCTCACCGTAGTGTGTGCTTGCTTGCAAGGTCACCTCTGACAGGAGAATTGTGTTGTTAGGCTTTTTTGCTTCATAACAGTCTCACTGGGGGACCTTGGATGTCTTGGTACAGACCAGGAAAGTCTATAGATCTTGGGCTGGAGCATGGGCAGGTGCAATGATCTCTCTACCTCCAGCCTGCCTGCATTCAAATGTGGGATTCAGCTGGGGTTCTAGGTGTGCCACTGTTTGGGGAGGGTTGTTCTTCTGCCCCTGTGTATTGATCATTCTCAAGTGTTATTCCAAGAGCTTTCTGCTTCCTTTTTCATGGGGGGAGCTGCCTGGACTAAGATAGGTTTTAAGTCTAACACTAAATCAGGTGCTAAGTAACCTGAAGAGTTATAGATAAGGTAATGAAATTCGTTGAGCAAAAGGGATTGAAATTCCTTTTTAAAAATGCCAAGTAGAATTAGCAGCATACTAAGTACAGCAAGTGAAAGCAGTGGGTTTCCAATTTAGAGGGGCATCATTGGAAGATATAACATATCCCTTGAATTAAGGTAAAAAATTACTGAATTGATGCAAAGTTATACATGAATAAGACTTCAGTCCAAATGTGGTTTGCAAAAATGCCACAGTAGTTATTTATATAGAGCCATGAAAGGGCCAGGAGGCTAAGGTGCTGGAGAAGACTGCGTGTTGTTTCATGGAAGGGCAGCGAGGAAGATGTGCTAGCACATCTCAGCTGTTCTGGGCTGAGCACGAAAAGAGATGGGCTGGCCTTGATGTAGACATGCAAGAGCCAGACAGGGACTCATGCTTTTTGTCATGGTCTCCTGTCACCAGCTCCTGCTGCAGCACTGACTACAACGCCTGCTCTCCTGCTTTAGCTTCGCAATTTGTAAACTGGAATTAATAGCAGCCACCACTGGGATTGTTTAGAGACTTCCCTCTGTTAAAATGCTTTTCGTTTCCACACTGCCCCAGTAGTGCTCAGTATTACTGTTATTACATGGCGTTTTCTTAGCTCGCTGTTGAGAAAATCAGCTGCCTTCAACAGGCTGGTGTAAGCTACCATTATGCTGGGTGGTATTATGTATGCCACTGTTCTTCTGGCATCTGGGTCTATCATTCAGATTAATTCGGAAATTGTGTAGTGCCTTGAGGAAAACTGCTGCTGAATTGAAGCTTGTGAGTCCAGAAAATATAATTAACCCAAACCCCTCTGTAACTGTGTAATAAATGCAATACTGAATGGTCTTGCATATAAACCAGACTCCTGAAAGATAACTTTTGGTATTTTCCCTTTCCTTTTTTTTTTCCCAGTATGGGCTACTGCATCCTTTTTGTCCACGGTCTAAAAAAGCTGTCTACATGGTTAAATAAATGGAGAGTTACTGTTCTGACCCTCTTTGCTTTACTGCTGCTGCTCTTCTCTTGGAAGACTGTGAAACAGAACGAAATCTGGCTGTCACGAGAATCCCTTTTCAGGTATGAGTGACCATGGGAGAACACGTGCAGTTTCTTATTGTTTAAAATAAGTTTGTTACATGGAATCATTTGCTTTAGGACAAGTTGTGCTATTGATGTGTTGCTATAATCAACATTTTTATTATCATAAAATAACACCTACTTTCTGTTTTCTGGTAACTGTGCAAAAACTGCTGCCAGCACTTTATAGGGTTATGCACAAACTTTGGTTCTGACAATCCCATTTTTAAGATGTGCTGTTTTTAAATAACTTCAATTCTGTAGATTTCACAATAGTGTAACACTTTCCTTTTTAAAGACATTGCAACCCTCCAGAATGCCATAGTAACACCACTGAATATACTGAATTTTCTGTAGCGATGTTCTAATGACAAAAATGAAATGCTGTGCAGTGCCAAACTAAATGTATGATATTTCATTTTATTTGATTACTCTTTGCCAAGCAGCTCTCTTTACAACCTCATTTATGTATTTTCGTGCACTGAAACAGACTGTTTCATTTTGTGTTTTGCTAGCAAATGTATTGCATTTGCCTCCAGCTGCTTTCAGCAGTTGTCTAATTGTGAAGTAATTGCAGAAACACAGGTGATCTGCACACGGGTTGCTTAGCTTTATTTTCTAACTTATTAGCCAGAGCAAAGTTTAATTTACGCAGCACTAAAAATATGAAATTAATTTTTATGTGTACCCTTTGGTCTTCAGGAAACACTACTGAAGTGGTTTGGAGCTCTGTTAGTGGGAGTGGGTTTTTTTAAATTCTGGGCTAGGGGTTTCTTCCCTCCTCAGTCCTGAGAGGACAGTTCCAGGAGAGAGGTATGCCCTGGGCTTTTGAAGTGGCAGCAAAACTGTAGGTGTGCTCCTGCTGGGTCACCTTATATCCTGGCCTGCCCCTGAGAGCAATCAGCAGCAGCTGCCAAGAAAAGCAATGTACAACAGGGCCAGCAACAATGATGCTTCTCTCCAGTTCTTTCCCAGCTTGCAGTAATCTGCAGTTTAAAGACTTCCTGAGTCAGGAGTTACTTGCTATTTTTGCTTTTAACAGCCACTGATGGACTTTTCTTCCACAATGTTTCTGACTGCTTTTTCAAATCTATTTATAGTTTTGGCTTCTACAGCATCCTGTGTGCTGGGCTCTGTCATTAAATTACACAGTGTGCACACAACAATTTCCCTTCTGTGTGCTGTGAGCCTTCTGCCTGATTATCTGGTTTGGTGTCCCCTAGTTCTAGTGTGCTGAATGAGTAGTTAACCATCAGCTTGTCACTCAGGATAAAGGCACTTTTGTGCTTTTAACACCTGTGTCCTCACCCAAGGCTCTCTCCTTTTCATGCTGGAGTTTTGAACTCTCCTCATATGAAGCTGTTCTGCATTTCTGCGTGTCAGTCTTCGCTGGATACTTTCAAACTCTAATCTGTCCTTTTGAGAAGGAGACTAATATCACCTCTCAAGAGGTCTGTGCAGCACAGTAACGCAGGGCTACTTTCTGGTTTTTGTTATCTTCTCCTACTAGTTCCTGATCTTCTACTTGCCTTTTATGACATCTCCTAAGCAGTAGGTGATAATTTCACAGCACTGTCCACACAAACTCCAAGACATCTACTGCTTGAAAATACCTGATTTATAAACATCAATCTTTATCATGTATGTACACACTCTGATACTTGTGTCTGTAGCAGAATTGCATTTTATGTTCCATCTTCTTGCTCAGCCTTCAAGACCATGAGGTCCTTCTGCAACAAGATGTAATTAGCTTTAATTCCCACAGTGTGACTCTCATTGGTGTCATCATCAAACCTGTTGGCTCCCTGATTGCTGCCTTTCCAAGATCCTTTGTGAACACATGAAGCAGCTCAGATGCCATTGCATGTCTCTGGGGAAGTCTGCTTATAGTCTTCTCCAGTTGCAAAAACGGTTCACATACTTGTCTTGCTGTCTTTCAACTAGGCATTGATTCATGAGAGGACCTTCCCTCTTACCCCTTGGTGCCTTGAAGAAATTGAAAGTCTTTAGTGAAGGATTTTATCAAAAAGCTTTTTGAACGTTTAAGTGCACAACACTGATGTATGTGATTTTGACTGACTGGGTTTTATCTGGATATTTGTAAGAGCTTTCCATAGTTTCAGTACCACATACCTGTTGAATCTATCAAAGAACAACAGATATGCCCAACTAACTTCTTTCTGCGATATACAAGGCTGATTCTTCTCTGTTGGACTGTAGTTATCCAGGAGGTTGCTAAAACTAGGCTTTATTATGATTTTCCCCAGGTTACCTGAAATCAGACTTGCTGGTCTGGTTCCCCTGCAAGATCCCTTCCCTCAAGCCAAATGATGTCATGTTCATCACCTCCCACTCCTCTAATGCTAGTCTCAATTAAATTATAGGCTACCTACTGCTGCTAATAACTCCACGTTTGATTTCCTTTGGGTGCATACTACCAGACCAAATAGATTTATAACTGTTCTTGGTGTTGATTTGTTTTAAAGCCTCTTTTACTGCCACTTCAGTTAGAGACAGTGCTTTGGTTTTGCCCCTGTGAGGGAAAGGCTCCTGTGTAGCAATGTCCTTCAGTTTCCCTGTAGTGAGCACTGGTGCAGATAATCCATTTAGCTTTTCTGCTGTGGTCTTTTCTTCTTCAAGCACTACTTTTAGGCATCATCTATTTGCCTTAGGGTATCTTTGGCAGGTTTCCTCTATCTGATGTATTCCATGATTAGCTTTGATGGCTTTAGCAAGTTTTTCCTTAAATCTCTTTTAGTCTCTGTAATTATGGTTTATGTGTTCACTTTTTAAAATGTGTTTTTCATTTCTCATAGCTTTCTTTATTATGCTGTTTACCCCTATTGGCCTTTTTGTTGTCCTTTCAAGATCTTCTTTGATAGCTGTTATACATCTCTTACAACTCTGTAATGTGGTAGGACCCTTCTTGTTGATGGGAAGGAAATGCAAAAGAAGAGTAGCATAGCAAGAAGATAATGTCATCCCAGGAATGAGAGATCTCCTTTTTGGGGCAGAAGGAGGATGCTGCATATAGGCTGATGAGGAGAGGAGGGAGAAGTGGATGGCAGCATGTGAAACAGCAATAAATTTAAATGGGCAGAACAGGAGGAGGAGATAAGGAACAGCGAAGAAGTATGAGAGAAAATAATAAGGAGACAGAGCAAATCTATAGAAGTGGGAAAGGAGACATAAATCAACCTGCTTTGTAGTCTCTGTGTGCGTTGAATTTTTTTTAAAGAAGCATGTGCTGAGGGAATCTTTACTCACATTCCTAGTTCTTCATTCCTCTTTTTTCAGTTGCTGCTTTAATAAATTACTGCTTCTTCCTGCCTCTTAGGTTTTTTTCTGTCGCCTCCGCTTTTCATTCCTCCATTTGTTTGGATGTGTTTATTCAGGGTCGATCTGTCTTGATTCCCTTGGCTGAGGCCTGTTCCGTTAAATATGCTTTTTCTATGCTGGTCCAAGAGACATTTGTATAATCAGCGTGTTAATAATTTTGTGCTTGTACCCCATTTTGTTCCTTTCTCAAGACTTACCCCACTTTGACATTGTGCAGCAGCACTGTTGCCATCTCTGGGTCACTTGCCGTGCTCAGTCTCCAGCTCAAGGACTGAGTTTTCTGGATACAGAAATCCTGCCAGGTCCTGGCTGAAAGCAGCAGTGTGTGGGAGGATGTTACTGTCTGAGGAAATGATGCATCTCCACATTGGTGCACAAGCTTATGTGCAAGGACTAAATGAGAAGCAAATAAATCACAAGGGTAAGAAGTGGCCAAATATATAGAGACCTAGATATTGGAGACGTATCATTCCAAGACATCTCTAGAAGCCCCAAGCAGTTTGTCTTAGTGTATTGGCAGGTAGGCAGAGAGGACTTATTTGCTAATTATTTAAGGAACTACCCTATAGAGTGAATGCACAGGCCAGAAAGTCAGGCTCCATAGACTCCAGCTGTGGTCAGTGTACATGTCTGAAGCCAGGGAGAGGAAGGTGAGGGCTGTGGGCTAAACTCTGCATCCGCTGTCCTGACCTTTTCAAGGTTTGTTATGCTGCCGTGTTTCCTGTTGCTCCTGGAAAGCATCTGCATGCTCTGCCCACTCTTGTGACAGTGCCTGGAAACACAGTTGTAACCAGCAAAGGAACTGTATAAAAGTGACACTTTCTTATCAGCAGTTTTCCTTCCCAAGCCAGGTCTGCTGACTTCAGTAATTTGCAAAGTTCTCCCAGTCCCAAACATGGCATTTACTGCTGTGTTATTTTGTTTGTTCTGAAAGCTAGCTCTGATGAGGAGAGCAAATCCCATTGCATCTTGGGCATCTTCTACAGAAAAGTGTAATATGGGCCAGCGTTGATATCTCTGAAATCAGTACAAGGGTAGGAAGCCAAGGAAAGTGGTTGCTTGTGTCATCCAGAAAATGATTTACTGTAGAGAACCTTTATTGATGATAATGATTCTCAAAGCATGTTCTGAAAGCTAGCTCTGATGAGGAGAGCAAATCCCATTGCATCTTGGGCATCTTCTACAGAAAAGTGTAATATGGGCCAGCGTTGATATCTCTGAAATCAGTACAAGGGTAGGAAGCCAAGGAAAGTGGTTGCTTGTGTCATCCAGAAAATGATTTACTGTAGAGAACCTTTATTGATGATAATGATTCTCAAAGCAGAGGAGACCCCACTCCCAGGAT